GACCTTTTACATTGTAAAACCTCGGATATCAATCGTGAATCCAAGCATTTTTTCCAATGGGGGAGGGGACACGCTCATCAAAAAAATCTTATTCAAAACTAGGGGTGACTCCATGAGCACCCCTCCCCCTCCTGATCATCTGCACATGCTTATGATGGAATCTGGAAATAGGAATTTTAATGAAATACTTGTTTTCAAAAAAAAAAAAAAAAAAAAAGGAAAAAAAGAAAAGAAAATGGAAAAAAGATAAATGCTTAGAATTGAACTACCGACATCTTTACTTAAGGCCAGACGACACGTTACTCAATTATATGTTTTGTATTGTATACCTTGGTATTATATCAAAAATTATTCATAATTGTCATTGTCTTGTGATTTCTTAATTGTTTTCAATATGTTTTAAAAAATAAGTACACCAGTAATTGTAACATTGGCAATTCAAAAGATTACCTTTATGGATTATATAGGAAATATCACCCTCTGGTATCTTGCCCAAATGCCTGGTAAGGTACCTCAATTTTTGGTGAGGAAACTTGTTTAAGTAGCAATTTTCAATGGCAAATTCTTGGGAAAAATTATATATTTTTGAGAAACGCGTCGTCTGACCTTAAGATATTCCTATGACGTTTTTGGTTTACACACTAAGACGTATCTTAAGATTTTCCTAAGATACATGTATGTCCTAAAAATTATCCTTAGACACGTCTTAAGACAAATCTAAGGATTATTTTTTTTTACATGACATGAGAAGTATGTGCACTGATGCGATGCGAAATTTCGTTCACAAGTGCTTGACTAAAAGAGCAACAAACAAGTTGACAAAGAAAACGCAAGGCATGCCCATTGCTAAATTTGAATTTTCTTTTCTCCTCTTCAGAAAAAAAGGTTGAAAATGTTGATAGTTCCGAAATTTGAGAATCGCCAAGTCAGTTTATAATGGTCGCCAATTTGGCGACTTATAGAAAATTTTAGGCGTCAATCAAAAATTTTAAGCCCCACGGTGACTAAATTAGTCGCCAATTAGAGCCCTGAGGACTAAGGTTTATTTTTCTTGCTATCAAATGAATGAGTCAACCATTGTTTCGTACATGTTCTCAAGTTAGATAGATATGAGAGAGAGAGAGAGAGAGAGAGAGAGAGAGAGAAATTGTCATGGTATGGAAAAATCATAATTGCTCCCTTTTCCGTAAGACAAATGCGATACTCTGTCACATTTCGACCCCTACATCTACCGTATTCTGAATTCTATTGTCTCTTTATTTTTTTTTGAAGATTTTTTCTTTTGAAAGGGGAAAAAATCATGAAATTCAATTGATTTCTTTGACTACTTTAATTAACTAAGTAGACAATTAACTAAAGTAGTCAAAGAAATCAATTGAATTTCATGATTTTTCCCCTTTCAAAAAAAAATCATTAAAAAAAATATAGAGACAATAGAATTCAGAATATTATGGTAAAAAAAAATACAATTTGAAAAAAGTTGATGACCCCCATACAATTCCCCAAACTGATGTTCTGCACGTCTAGTTGACTCGTGTCAGGTGCAGGACTAACCCTCAAATCACAAGCAACTAGGGTGTCCATAAGATTCTTAAATTTCTGTAACACAAAAATGGCCCACACACAGTTTATGACATCCCACCCCGACCCTTATCAAATGAAAATGATCCGATTGACACAGCATTAGGCTTTAAGTAAACTCTGTGTCTAGTTAGATTCTTCTCTCTGATACAGCTATGGCTCACACCAGAATTCCAACATTTTTCTCCTTGTGACCTTGTCTAAATAATACCTGATAAAAGTCATAACACAAAATATTTTCTCTGGTGACTGTGTTCAAGTAATACCAGGTCAAGGCCATGACAAACCCATGGTCATGTCCATCTCTGTGTAAGATATAAGCAGAAGCCATATAAATGCTTTTTTCAAAGTTATGGCCATGACATGGCAATCCCTCCTCAACACTTGTCATCTAGACATGAACATAAACAGACAGACAAGGCAATTCCTATATACCAGGGCCAAGCTTAAAAAATTCTTGATTTGCAGTTGTCAACCTAAATTTTTAGAATGGGCGGTATTTTTTTTTATTTTTCTAAAAAAATGTAGTTTTTCAAATATTTTTTAACTACAAAAAATAGGCTTACTTAACATAAGCTCCTCTTGTTATAAGTCGCTGACTGATAATACCAAAAATCGAAAATGAAACATGCAGTTTCACTATCCTGAAAGCTTGAAGCTTAAAAAAAATAATACAAAATAGCTGGAAAAAGTTTGGGTCAGGTGCATTTTCAGTGGGTCACTAGGCAGCTGAAAAAAATTATTTTAGGCCCAGGCTCTTCATTTGCAGGGGTAAGATAACACTAATAAGGTAACACTTTTATCAGTTAAAGATTATGTATTTATTTCTCAAAGTGAGGAAAACACACATAATAGTATTCACAATCAAGTATTTTACAACAGTGACCCACAAACATGAACAGACAAATATCTATATCATATATTTAAACTGATACTGATCCAAAAACCATAATCAGACACATTCTAATACAAAAAATCTTAAAACAGTGAATCACATTCTATGAAAGTAATGATTACTCAGTGATCAAGAAACCATAAACACATGTATAGTTGAACTGCCATAACCAAACTTCTACAATGTTTTGAACAAACATTCTATGACAGTGACCCACAATCCATGAACAGACACATACATGTTTATATGACAGTGTTCAACAAAGCATGAACATTTTCATATATATGTATGCATATATACATAAATGTCTATACAAAAAGACACAGAAAGTCATGAACTACGGGAAAATGATAAAACAAACAATATATGACAGTGACCCACAATCCATGAACAGACACAAACACTTATATATGACAGTGATCAACAAACCATGAACATTTTTATATATATGTATGCATATACACAAATGTCTTTACTCAAAGGCACAAAAAGTCATGAACAAAATACAGGAAAAATGTTAGAACAAACAATCTATGACAGTGACCCACAAACCATGAACAGACACAAACACTAATATATGACAGTGATCAACAAACCATGAACATTTTCATATATATGTATTCATGTACACAACTGTCTTAACTCAAAGACACAAAAAAGTCATGAACAAACTACAGGCAAAATATTAGAACAAACAACCTATGACAATGACCTACAATCCATGATAGAACAAACAATCTATGACAGTGACCCACAATCCATGAACAGACACATACATGTATATATATGACAGTGATCCACAAACTATGAACATTTTCATATATGTATGCATATACACAAATGTCTTTACTCGAGGACACAAAAAGTCATGAACAAACTACAGGAAAAATGTTAGAACAAATAATATATGACAGTGACCCACAATCCATGAACAGACACAAACACTTATATATATGACGGTGATCCACTAACCATGAACATTTTTATATATATGTATGCATGTACACAACTGTCTTAACTCAATGACACAAAAAAGTCATGAACAAAATACAGGAAAAATGTTAGAACAAACAATCTATGACAGTGACCCACAAACCATGAACAGACACAAACACTTATATATGACAGTGATCAACAAACCATGAACATTTTCATATATATGTATGCATGTACACAACTGTCTTAACTCAAAGACACAAAAAGGTCATGAACAAACTACAGGCAAAATATTAGAACAAACAACCTATGACAATGACCTACAATCCATGATAGAACAAACAATCTATGACAGTGACCCACAATCCATGAACAGACACATACATGTATATATATGACAGTGATCCACAAACTATGAATATTTTTATATATATGTATGCCTATACACAAATGTCTTAACTCAAAGACACAAAAAGTCATGAACAAACTACAGGAAAAATGTAAAGACAAACAATATATGACAGTGACCCACAACCCATGAACAGACACAAACACTTATTTACATGACAGTGATCAACAAACCATGAACATTTTCATATACATGTATGCATATACACAAATGTCTATACACAAAGACATAAAAAAGTCATGAACAAACTACAGGAAAAATGTAAGAACAAACAATCTATGACAGTGACCCACAATCCACCATGAACAGACACATACATGTAAATATGACAGTAATCCACAAACCATGAACAATCATATACATGTATGCATATACACAAATGATACAAAAAACATTAACAAACTACAGAAAAAAATTGTAAAATGTTAGAACAATAAATAACCGTGACCCACAATCCAAGAAGTTGAACCGATATGACAATGACCTACAAACTATACACAGACTATGGAACAACCAATATATAGAAATATTTACCTCCTGGAGAATATTGATATACTATTCAAGCTCTGATACTATAATTAACAAGCATTCTGACAATCTAAAAATAAATTATTAAATTTTAGAACTAAAATTTGATTTTATTAACTTTGTTAGTGTAAAAATCCTTCAAAAAATCACACAAAATACGAAATCTGATGTACAGGTTCTAGACAGACATTACGTGAAAAATTGATGTCACTTTATAATTCTTTTTTTCCTATAGAACAGATATATATTTTATCACCTCTGACTTGTGAACATGACTGTTTAGTCTTTATTTATCATTTATTGCATAAATGAGTTTTAATAAAACATAATTTCACCATGCCAATTTAATTTCTTGTTCGTCGCACATCTAGTGAAAAAAGTAAGAGCGGGCAAGAGATTAAATAATAATATTATTACTTTTTCGTATGCAAAATTTTTAGGCATAACATGAAAGAAATTGAGTGACAATTATATTTTTTCTACTTTTTTCTGATTTGTAGTAAACAGATTTAAATTATCAAAAATAGAGCGGAAATAAAACAGAAACTGGCACAGAATTTCCCAGGTGCTGGAGATTTAAATTAATATTATTTGTATAGCTTTGTTCAAATAAGACCATGCGGGTCTGACAAGCAAAATATTAAATTGGAATGGCCTTTGTATTTGATTTTATTTATGAAAATTGATAATGGCACATGTCACATATTCACATCAAAACTTATCACATTATCACTTTTGGAATTGCAAAGCAGTGTATCAATAGACTTTTCATATTTGAAACTAATTATTTTTTTTTCTGCATAATAAAGCATAATTCAAAATGTACCGGTAGTATTTTCAGATTAAGATGGACTTAACTGTAGAAAAAGACAGTTTTATATTCAGTCCATATATCAGCTTCAGAGCAAATAATTAACCACACACACATGAACACCATTAGGGTCTTGGCTTATCTGTGGAAAAAGTTTATATTCTGCAAAATGGTCTTCACTGGTTTGTGGAACATGTGCAAGTTTTCCATCAGGGTCTGCCTCAATAATCCACTCTAAGGAACATGCAAAGAAGAACTGACAATGTAATATAAGTTATGCTACAAGTCTTGTATTGAAATTTCCTCCTATATTTCAGAAGAGTTACACATACCTGTACTAAAATGCCTAAGCTGTTGAACATGTGAATTTACAAGGTCCTGACTAGTCTGTACTATCTGTGGAACATGTAGAAATACTGCAACAGGGTTTGCCTCCAAAATGCTTCCTATAATATATGTGCAAAACAAAATTAATTGTGATTATATTTATGCCTGCAACTACATTCAGATACCTTTAATGTAAGCTATTTTGATGCATTTGAATAGAAATTTAACATGCTATTAAATAAATGTTTTTAACATAAAATAAATTAATAAAAAGTATCAAATAAACTAATTGTTTTTTTATATAACACTAAACAGCAAGGGCAATGGTCACCCAGGTGTAAATTGTACAATCAACTGAGAAGTCCTATTAGGTAGACCCTAATTGTAAGGACCATTATGACAATTTATCAAAGGATCTTGGATCAGGCTAAACAAGAAATATACTAAACTTCAAAGTTCGCAGAAATGTTCTTTCTATAAATATCTACTTGATGGGTTTTACCTACCGTATTATTTAAGAAATTCAATTCTGACTAAGTTTCAAAAATGTATATCAAAGTTAAGACTATTTTCACACCTTTTAGCTATTGAAACTGGATATAATAAAGCAAACAGAGCCCACTGGAAATGTTTTTTTTTTGTGTCATACTTGTGTCAAGGATGAATATCTACTACCGTATATACTCGGCTATAAGTCGGTCCGCCTATAAGTCGGTTGTATTTTTTGAGGTTATTTTGGAGAATTTGCCATTGACCCGCTTATAACATGTATAAGTCGGTACAACTTTTTGCCAGAATCAGTTGACAATTTCAAATCAATGGTGTAATGTTTTAACCTGGTTTTGATCAATATTTTTAGAAATGACGCCGATATTTAATTTTAAATCATAAGAAAAATATATAATACACACTTAAAGATAAAAATAAAATTATTAAAATATGTAAATACTTGTGTTTATGTGTAATCTTAGAATACATAAATGATATAATATATCCAGACATTGTTCAGTGAAAATCATTGGAAATGTTTATAAAATATTACATTTCCCTCTCCAGAAAAACACAAATCTTTTTATGACTCGCCTATAAGTCGGACATAGAGTTTTGGACCAAATTTTAACTCCCAAAAAACCGACTTATAGGCGAGTATATATGGTAGTATGTCCTGTTTATCGAGATTATCAAAGCAAATTATTTCTTTTTAAAAAAAACATCCATACATATAAATTACTGCAATTGTTCAATACTAAGAACTTTAAGGATATGTGTAACCTAGGTAAATATATTTATTACAGCATGAGGCAAAGAGGTGATCCTGTACATATAATCAAATATCAAGGTGATCTTGTAATCCAATAATAATAATCACTCTAACCTTGTCTTAGAGGTATTATTTTCAATAATTTACTTTATTTAGGCCAAAAAAAAAATAACAGTCTTGTTTTTTTTTAAATTTTGGAAGGAAAAAATCGAGAATTTCCGGAATTTCATCATTCTGTCACCATAATCGTTTTTCATGTTAACACAAAACAAGCATTTCATGAAATTCTTGTTTTAAATGTGGACTTTCATAGAATACCACTTGAGTTTAGTCAAAAGACATGAAATTTGATTTTAAAAGACAATATTGACCTGTGACATGTTTAATTTTATCTTTTATTAGTTCATATCCAAAAAATGTTGTCGAAAAAAAAAAATGAAAATATAAAATAAAACAATTTTCCTACCTACCTACCCTATTTTTTTTTCAGGCTGGTAGCAGGAAACAAGACTATTTTTTTTTTTTGGTCTTATCTAAAATATGGATCACAAAAAGATGTTGTTTTTTCCCCATCAATTTAATTAATTCATCATTTTCACCAATTGCTATTTTCCTATTCTTGGAAAAAAAGTTCACAAATTAATATATTTCAATGTTTATGATGTAAACTTCAGAAACTTGCATCTGCTGAACATCAATTTTAGTTTGTCCGCAAAAAAAATCATTAATCATCAAATCGTAATGTTACGTAATGTTACGACAGCATGCTTTAATAATGACTACTTGTACAGTTTGATGGAACCACGGACCTATATTATATGTCCCTGACAGAATGGCATCCAAACGTCATAAACTTTTTAGAACCTGACCTTGTCATTGAAACATTTGGTCAATTGCTTGCATATTACAACTAATTAAGTGTTTTGGCAGCATTAATAATGACTGTTTAATGGGTTAGGTACGTACTATGTAATAATAAGTAAACATGACAAACAGCTGGCAAAGTCCTGTCTCAATAATTGTCAAACTTTGTATTTTCTTTTGAATAAATTTCAATTCTAGGATCAGTCTTCTTGTGTGGTTGTGGTTGTATTAAAATATTTCCTTAAACCTAGCAAATTGTTTATAGTCACAGTAATACCTTACATCTTTGATTTAGTAAAGACATAAAACATACAGGGTGTTTGTTCCTTGTTTTACTAGTGTTATTCACAAAATATTTTCATTATGGCAAGTGAAATATTCTGAAATGGTGGCCAAAATTTTTTTTGGTCCTCATTTAGTGACCTGAAAGTAAGTGTGACTTGGAACACTGTTGGGTAAAACATTTTTCATCTCTTGACCTCTCAAGAACATTGAAAAAAAAAAAAAAAAAAAAAAAAAAAACACTACAAAGAGGATGCAGCATGTCAAATTTGAAAATCCATTATTCTAAATATTTACCTGATGAGTGATGAACTCCAAGGAAGATTGTCCATAGGGCATGGGATCTCCATAGTCATATCTGATCTCCTTCCCTCTATCAATATCCCTTCTTGCAAAGAAAAAGCCTGGAGTAGTTGTTAAACACTTTTAACTTCTCATAACATGCATAAGATGGGGTTGTCTATAGCTGCATCATTAACGTACCTTCCAAGCCTTTGGAAGCTGTCAGATGCATCAATGCTTGTAAAATGATAATGAAAACCATAAATAAAATTGTTTAAAGTTACATATAAACAAAATAACATATATGATGAAATATTAGGACTGCAGGAACAATACAGGTGTTATGCAACAATCATAATATAGTAGTCACAATATATGAATCACAATGTATTTTTCCAAAAAATGATTTTTGTTTCATACAATTTGCAAGAGTAATAAAAATCCCTGCCACAGCATGATATTGTTCAATTATCGTACACATTTTAGAGTGCAAGAAAATTATGTTATTCTTTACTCTAAAAAATTGTCATCCTAGTGAGACATGACACTCTGCAATTTGTTGTAAAGTTATAAAAATCCAAATAAAAAATATTACGCAGCAAGGTTAAGGATGCCCACAGGAAATAATACGCCTAAAAATATTCCAAGAAAATAAATATAGTGTTGATTTTTTTTTTAACAGCATGAGTTTTGATTAATGGGAATTCTACTATTTGCATATGTAGGAGGGTTGTCCCAGAAATACGTGAACATTTTCAATATCTTTTGTTTCACTAATACAGTACAGTACTGTAAAGTTAACCAGAAGTCTCTGATGAGACTGTAGCTCTACTGGTCTGTCCGTATAACAAAAGAAAAGTAGCACTTGGATTTGAAACTTTGCAACATGCAACAATAAATAGAATTATGTATCTTAATGTAGTCTACTTCTGTGCCAAGTTATATTGAAATCAAACGAAAACTGCAGGAGGAGTAGGGTTTTGAAAGTATTTCAGAAATTTCTATTTTTAGTAACCATGACAACACCATTCACCGAAATAAAAAAAAAACAGAAATACATATTATGTATCGTAGTGTATTCTATCTGTGTGCCACATTAGATTGAAATCAGACCAAAATTGTAGGAGGAGTAATGTTTTATGGGAATTTTACAAAAATTTCTATTTTTAGTAACCATGGCAACACCGTCCACCGAAATCAAAAACTGATGCACTAAATTATGTATCCTAGTGTAGTCTACTTCTGTGCCAAGTTATATTGAAATCGGACCAAAACTGTAGGAGGAGTAGCGTTTTAGAGGAATTTCACAGAAATTTCTATTTTTAGTAACCATGGCAACACCGTCCATCAAAATTAAAAACCGATGCACTAAATTATGTATCTTAGTGTAGTATATTTGTGTGCCAAGTTATATTGAAATCGGACTAAAACTGTAGGAGGAGTAGCGTTTAAAAGGAATTTCACAGAAATTTCTATTTTTAGTAACCATGGCAACACCGTCCATCGAAATCAAAAACCGATGCACTAAATTATGTATCTTAGTGTAGTCTACTTGTGTGCCAAGTTATATTGGAATCGGACCAAAACTGTAGGAGGAGTAGCGTTTTAAAGGAATTTCATAGAAATTTCTATTTTTAGTAACCATGGCAACACCGTTCATCGAAACCAAAAACCGATGCACTAAATTATGTATCTTAGTGTAGTGTACTTGTGTGCCAAGTTCTATTGAAATCGGACCAAAACTGTAGGAGGAGTAGCGTTTTAAAGGAATTTCACAGAAATTTCTATTTTTAGTAACCATGGCAACACCGTCCATCGAAATCAAAAACCGATGCACTAAATTATGTATCTTAGTGTAGCCTACTTCTGTGCCAAGTAATATTGAAATCAGACCAAAACTGTAGGAGGAGTAGCGTTTAAAAGGAATTTCACAGAAATTTCTATTTTTAGTAACCATGGCAACACCATCCATCGAAATCAAAAACCGATGCACTAAATTATGTATCTTAGTGTAGTCTACTTGTGTGCCAAGTTATATTAAAATCGGACCAAAACTGTAGGAGGAGTAGCGTTTTGAAAAATTGTTTACAGACAGACGGACAGACGGACAGACAGACAGACGGACGGACGACGTACACCTTACTATCGCATAAGCTCTTCTGGTCTCTGACCAGTAGAGCTAAAAATTGGCATACATCATGATCAACATTTTTGTGAATTTTTTCTGGAAATGTGCTTCTGATAAAATTAATTTATTTAAGCATAAATTCGGCACATTATTTAATTTTATTTTATTTACCAAGTAATGCATCTCAAATACAGCGTGTGTTGCTAAAAGATTGTGGAATTAATTCTTTCAATAGACAATTTCGCAATCCCGATAATAAACCTAACAGTTCGCATTGTTTAACGCTGGCCTTGGCTTAGGCTTATGACGTCAAGCTCAGGACTTTCAGTTTGTCTTCATTTCTTTTGGTCTACAAAATGTCTCTTCCAGCACTAATATCTCTTTCATCGTATGGGCAAGAGTCCTATCCCGTTTTAAAGACAGTGCTGCTTAATAATTTGTGCTCCAAATTATCGCTAAACGTCACCATTTTTAACAATATCTAATTAAAAGTGTTTTGGCATATAACGTCATCTATTTGTCATTAATGATATCAAATTAATGAATTTTCATACACAAGTATATCAGCGAGATCAAAGAGTATTTATGGAGGTAAAGTTTGTGACATTATATTTCCGTATAGCCTGGTAATAAAGAAAAATTCATTGACAATGCTACTTTTAAAAGTCAATAAATTGCAGTGTGCAGACCACCGATATTTAACACCCTTTAAATGCCGTTTTTACATATTAATGACATCACAAGCCTAAAATATTTTGTCATAATACTGAAAATATCATTTTCCAACAACTTGCAAAAAATTATTAGTTCTGGTCAAATAGTTTCTGAAATATACAAAAGGTTTGTGTTTTCTGGGACAACCCTCATATATATGAGGTATTTGCCGAGTTCGGCCAAAGCAACTTTACTTACATCAGCTGTTTGTCAAGTGACATGTTTAAAATTACAAAAAATATGTATGGCTACAAAGATCATAAAAGTACAACAATATACGGATATCTTTTCACTATGAAATTAATTTTGTTTTCTTTAAGACAAATTCCTTAACCTGAAAAGTGCTGGGAGCAACTTCCCCATGCCTGAGAATTATGTAAAATTTTTGATAAACTTCCTACATTGACATAATATGCATTGAAATAATGGTAAAATACGGAAAAAAGCAACAGTGCACAACCAGCTCCCGGCACTTTTCAAAATAGTAGGGATGTTACTACCTTTGTATAAAAATTCATAAATAATAGTGAAGCAGATATCGTTGAACTTTTGGGATTTTCGAGGGGCTGTGCCTGTTATTCTAGATTGTTAATGTATAAATGTGCCTTACTGCAGCTTTATATGAGGTCTACACATTTTCAATTTAAGGCCTAAAAAAAAAATAAGTTTGTTTCCTGTAACCCGACCGACTCATTCAAATTACCCCCGGGCACATTTTTTTTCCTGCCAAATCTGCATTTGCTCTTTGGTTCGATCGATCAGCTGATTCCATTTATTCAAAAAATATTAATTGTAGCTTTATTTGAGATACAAAATATGTCATCCTAGTCAACATTTACCTTAAATATAAAGAGTAATCATTATTGTAACAACAATTTCCACCCACAACTTTTTGAAGTTTGTTTTCTGCCGCTAGGCAGCCATGTTGGGTGTCCACTTTATATATAACACCTGGTTAATTCAGTCCGGGGATGTTTGACCCTATTATTCATAAGCAAAAAAAAAAAAAAAAAAAAAAAAAAAAAATCCCGACCTACCGACCATTGATTTTTTGGGAATGTTACAGGAAACAAACATATTTTTTTTTTAGGCCTAATTAGACTATAAAATATTGATTAATACATTCAAAAATATGACTTAGTTTTGGTCAGATCACACTTATTTTATTTTGATATTTAAAAGCTACAATAATAGCTTGATCTACGCCTCAAGTACAGAGAAACTGTTTGTCAAACTAGGGTGTGACGTCATCTTAGTCAGTGCAGGAAGGTCAAGGTGGCTTAAATTCTACATTCAAATAGTGTTATTATGACATGATAAGTTACACATCAATTTATGTTTACAATATTTATCATGTTTATGAGAAAAGACTGTATTTGAGTGTGTATGAAAAAGAAAACATTAGTATTTAGGATTTATTTGTTCAGTTTCATTGTGACGTCATAATCGATTTCCCAAAGCTCTGCATATAGGCTGATGTAAGTATGGGAGTCCTAAACCTTATAGCTGCGTATAATATATATATATATATATTTATATAATTAGTTTTGATTACTTGTTAAATATACAATATCAAATTAGTTTTAATTATATTATATACTAAAAGATTAGTTTTAATTACTTTACAACAAATTTATCTTGAAAGTTAGACTAGACAAAAAAGTCGACTTTTGCACTGTAAGAGTTTTGACACTGTTTACGGAAATAAAAGAAAATAAATAAGACAAACATGTCATAGATAGTTGTGTAGATAAATTATCGTAGAGGACAATGGTAATAAACAGTTTGCCAGTGCATTTCCTCTGAAAGTGTAAATAAGTCCAATTTTGGGGAAGGGGGGGGGGGTACTCAATGTAATATGGAGTTGGATACCTTGTGTTATCATCATACTAATATGGGTTGAAAAATTTATTACCAAAACAAGTGCCTGTAATACCAGCTGTTAAAAATCAGTATGGGCCACTACCATTTTAGAACTAGTAGCCTCATCAGCTAGCTACCAGTTTTAAAGGCTGATATTCATGATATTTTTAACCGAACAGTTTTCTCTGGTGAGGGGAGGGACTAAGTTTTTCCCAGAGGCTGATCGTGTATGGTGTTAATACCTATACACACACAGTATACACAGGAAGTCCTTGTTACCTGTGGGAACTTTTATACATATATTTCTAAAAGAAGATAAATTTTTTAATTGTAAGCTAGCTTATTGTGAGAAAATATAGCATTATAACTGACAAACTGTCAACTTTAATGCATTTAATTATCAAACAAACAGTATATAGACCTCTTTAAATACAGCTATCTTTACAGCAATGTGTTGACGTGATCCTTGTCATGTAATATGCAGGGTTCGACACTAACCTTAGTCCGTTAGTCTCAGACTAACGAATTTTATGTCGGACTAATAAAATCTGCGCCTAGTCAGTCCGATCGGACTAATAAAAATTACAGCTTGTATGAAAAATTATTCACGTTCGATTCGCGACATTTTGCTGGAAAACCCCGAATGTATTTTTAGCTCTTTACGCATGGCGGGAGGTCATGTAAGTCCTAGTCAATACGACGCTTATTTGTATAATTGATTGAAATTATGTAAAACGTTTCAGTGATCATGATTTAGTTTGACACATGCCGCCCGCAATGGAGAAACAGAAGAAGATGTCGGACTTTTTTAAAGCGGATACTGAGAGTGTTAAAAGGCGAAAGTTAGATATAAGTATTGAGAAAAAAGAACGTGATCGGGAGTATGAACGGAGTCGCCGATCACGAGATTTCCAGGAATCTTGGACGAAAAATCGAGACTGGTTATATTTTGAAAAAAGCACAGGACTTATGTTCTGTACAATTTGTAAAGAACACGCGAAAGGGACTGTAGATAAAGCATGCTCTTTTGCCGCTGGATGTGCTAATCTTAGGTTAGAAACAATTAATTACCATGAAGAAAAATCATCCTTTCATAAAAAAATGTGTTGAGATTCATAGAGCGAAATCTACGCCAAGAGGTGAGTCTGCTGCAGAAAAGATTGTAGAAAAACTAAATAAAAAAGCTGTCGATCGTTTAACAGTTTTATTTTGTAATGTCCATGCTCTGGTTCAACATAGGCGTCCATTCACTGATTATCCTTGGATACTTGAGCTTGACAAAAAGAAAGGGATAGATGTTGGAAACACTTATAACACAGACAAAGAGGCCCAGATATTTTCCTTCTTTATTGCACAAGAGGCTAGAAACAATATTAAAAAGTTCATGAACAAATGTCCATTCATATCTGTGATCACTGATGGAGCAACAGACAAGTCAGTTAAAGAACAAGAAATAGTGTATTGCAGATCGTCAAATGCTGGACTTGTTGACACATATTATATTGGAATAGGAGAGCCAGAACGTGCTGATGCGAATGGAATCATTAGTGTCATTGATACAGTTTTTGAATCTTTGGATATTAAAGACTACAAGGACAAACTGGTGGGCTTTGGGTCAGACGGCGCATCTGTCAACACAGGAAAGAAAAATGGAGTCATAGCCAAATTAAGAGAGAGTCAACCTTGCATCATTGGAGTACACTGTCATGCTCACCGCCTTGAGCTAGCATACAAAGATGCCATGCGTAAATACCCATCTCATAAAACGCTTGAAGAACTACTGGATGGACTCTATTTATTTTATCATAACAGCCCCCTAAATCGTTCAGATCTAGGGAGATCATGTGAAGTATTGGATGTGCCTAAAGTTGTACCAGCAAGAATAGGTGGAACAAGATGGCTTTCACATTGGCTGCGGGCATTAGAAAATTTGTGGAAGGCTTACCCAGGAATTGTCAGTCATTTGCAAACGGTATAATTTATTGCTTTATACAAAAAATATAAAACAATGAACCCTTACAATTGGTGTGAATTAAAAGTTATGACTCTTTGTTTTCAATTCATTATTTTCTGGTACTATACTTTTCAGCTGACACACACTTCCCAAGTTCCTAAGAGAACGACTGATGCTGTCGGGAAAGCTAATGGATATCTCAAAATGTTGTTGAATTTTGACATTTTGGTCTATGCACACTTCATGACAGATGTGATTAAAGTCCTTTCAACATTATCATTGTTCCTACAGCATGAAAAGGCTACAGTGTCAGAGGTTTACCTCAAAGTATTGGCAACAATGGCTGTGCTTGAACAATACAAAAATAAGTAAGAAAAGTGACAATATTTAATTCAATAGTAAACCATTGATTTCATGATTATTTTTTTAAAACCAAGTTTCAATCAATTTCAATCAATTAATAAAAATAATTTGAATTTTGAGTCACTAAATTGCAGGGATGGTCCAATTTTAAAGAAATTTGTTCAACTTCTGGAATTAGACAAGGGCATGTTTCATGGATTTAAAATTAACCGTATTGAAAGATCCAGAGATAACGCAGCTTTGAAGTTTCCAAGAGAGGGGACCATTGATCGCCTAGTTGACTGTTTAAATGGCAGATTCGATGAGCAGCAGTCCAGGATTCTCAAAGCGACGAAGTTGGCAGACTTTTTGGGCTGGCCAAAACGATCAAATTATGCTGGTATAAATTTTTAGATTAAGTTATCATGTAATTAAATTCAGTATAAAGTTCAATCTCTTTTGAATAAAAATAAAAATAATCATGAAAAAGAATTTTAAAATAAAGGTAGTAAAGAACTTGTGTTTGCAAGTCAGGTGTAAGATCTCTTGAAAACAATTCCTGTAGATTTTGGAGATGAAGATTTAGAAATCTTAGTGGACCATTTCTCACCCATTTTGACTAAGGCGGGATTCAATGCTGATGAGATTTATACTGAATGGCAGATGCTGAAAAACATGATCTATAAAAGGTACGAAAATATTTTATGAAGGCCAAATACACAATACAAAAAACTTCAAATTTGACGGGACAATCAGTAATAATAGTGCAAGAATTTTGTAATTTCAGTGACTGTGATGTGTATCAGTTGTCCTGGGAGGAGGTGAATCATAAATACAAGGAAGGACATCAAAACTTCCTTGCTCTAGTGGACATAATTTTGTCCCTTCCCACTTCTTCTGCTGATGCTGAGAGGGGATTTAGCGAAATGAAAATGGTTAAGACAGACTGGAGATGTAGACTCCGTTCTGAAGTCTTAAATGATTTAATGCATATTCAATTTAACACACAAGATGTAGTAAAGTTTAATCCTTTGCCTGCAATTCACCTATGGAACTCAAGTGCTGTCAGACCAAGGAGGCCGTTCTACAATAACACGGATGAGAACAATAATTACAGCTCTGATGAGGAAGATTTAACACCACTCTATTCTTTGGCCAAAAAAGTGGTTGACTAAATACGAGTGTCACTGTGGGATAACAAAAACTCAGTGTTTGAAACATAAAATTCTAGTTTGATTATTAACATTTGAAGTCAATACAAAAGTAATCTCTGTTGGAATTACTGTTCCTGTAATTAATTTTACAAATGTTAAACCTCATGAATTGACTTCTCTCAGATACTTTTGTTTAATTAATTAATCAAAAACTTCACTTAAATGTGTTGTGCATTTAAAACAAAAGAATCACTATAATAAAAACGTACTACTTATAAATAATTTTTGTTTAAAAATTTATTTCTCTGTTTTTTGCGGACTAATAAATTTACCTGCGGACTAGTAAAAGTCATAAGTCACTAGTCCGGCTGGACTAATGCATAAAAAAGTTAGTGTCGAACCCTGATATGGGAAATTCCGAAAATATCAATGTACCTGTATTTAATTTCAATTATTTATAAGCGTAATATACAGTGCCTGGGAAGGTAAAACAACAGATGCGGGCAAATGGCCCTGTTATTTATAGCCACTAACCGGGGTCATTTTGAAATTTAAGGGGTCTAGAGGAAATATATTCAGGTCATTCTAAAACATGTCATAGTTTTGTGCTAATAATAATGCATATACATGTATCTTTGACACCTAAATTTAAGTTGCTAAAGAATGCCATAGGAATTGACAAATCATACGACATTGACTAGCAAAAGTGATTTTTCTGTTTCTAAGAAATTCATAAATCATTCGTCATCTACCACAGCAAGTATTTAGGAAAATTACATTTAAACCAAACACACACTTTTTTTAAATTGTCGATTTAGAGATCAAGGGACCGGCAAAGATAAAAAACTTCGATGATGTGGTTTTTCATTGTAAGGTAAAAAATTTTTCGTAAACCTGTGGTCAGCCATCCAAAATGACTTAACACTTCTTTACCAATGGATGTAAAATATGTTGAATGTAGGTTCCAATTTTTTAATATGATACATTACAGATTCCATCTACCTTCGACGATGAATACTGTACCGATAGGGCAGACTGATATGAACTTTACAAAGTAGAAAACAATGTGTGTTGTGCTGCATGGCATCAATGCATTGGGCCATTTTTCGGCAGTATGCACATATAGCACATGATATGGCCCCTTCCCAGGTCCTGGTCATAAAAATTTTTATGATCACGATCAAAATGTTTAGAAAACCCTGTTTGTATGAAAAGTTGTGCAACACTTCTCTTAGCAATTGAGCAAAGGGCAAAAGATGCAATGTGGAAAAGCCACAAATATCTAGAAATAACTGTAGGGGGAATTGAATCATGCCAATCTCAAACAAATGCAAAAAAATGTTTTATAACTGAGGTTTTTCCTAATGCTTCTGTAGTAGGCCCTATATTATGTTCTCCCTCCTTTCTTTCATCAGAGGTAAGGCATAATAAAAAAATATGTTTGTTTACAGTTACCCGACCGACCCTATATCTAATAGGCAACCCAAATTTTTTTTCGTCGTAAAAATCCAGAAGTCACTCATTCGTCGGTTTAACTTTTACATGCATCTTAATCAGTCAAGCGTTTGAAATCAAAAGTACTAGAAATAGTTAGTGCAACATGGAATTAAAGAAGAAATACAAGACAGTTTTTTTCATTGTGTGGTAGCTGTAAGGCAGTTGGCAAGAAAGATATTGCCATATGGCAAGCCCAAACAAAAGTAAAGCACCACGCAATGGTAAAACTGTCTTGTTTTTCAACCAATTCATTTGAATTTGTGTATAAAAAAATTCAATAAAATAAAAAAAATCCTACCTATCGGCCCTATTTTATTTCGGCATGTAACAGTAAACAAACATATTTTTTTGTTTGGCCTAAACATGTATGGAAACTATAAACATAAAACTAACACCCCAAGTATGCCACCTGCATTCAGAATCGGTGCATGTGCTTTTTTGAGGTTGACAAGCTGGTAATTATGCTTCACAGCTGCTTCAGGCTGAAGCATCCATCATTTGTAAGGTAGGTCGCGGGTTTGCTTTTGTCATCAATTTCGGTACACAATTTAGACAATATGAGTGGTTGTTTTGTGCACATTTGATTATGACGTGAGTTACGTCACAAAGGCGATGTTGCATTGCTTCCTGCTTATTTCTCTGAAAATTACTTTGATTAGCAATAGAATCTAGTCCATACAAGGCGTATGTACACTGTGCCAAATTAACGCCTATCCGATGGTCCAAATCTATCTCAAATTTAATTGGTCTACCCCGATCCGAATTGAAACAGACCGAATTGTCTATCCCAATTTTGGCCATGGGTAAAATGAGATTGAACAAGAATGACCATTTCGTATTTTTAACACATAATTATAAACAAAATAATTGTGAAAAAAAAAAATTAATACTTTTATATTTTACATGGTAAAAGAACTGTTGTTAAATCTCTTTACTTATTAATTTATAACATTGTGCATCTTTCGATGAATTGGTGGTGTACTATTTTTACCCAATGCTTGCTGTTTATGTATATCATGCATGCTACAAATCCCGACTGCAGGAAGCACTGCATTAAAACACAAATTGAATCAACAAAAAGACAACCAAAAAAATTGAAAATAAAATAATGAATCCGAAAAAAGGGAAAGCTATAAAGATGAAATTAGAGTTTGTGTCTTTCACAAATATTAGCTGGTCTGCAGAGTGAAGTTCATATACGATGAGTCTGAATAATTGTACAGTTTTTTGGGGTGTGAAATGCATGAACACTGCATGATTATATTTAATTTTACCAAGATAATCATGAAAATATATAGCAGATACTTCAATAAGAATATAAATGAATAAATTTTTAAAAAATTTAACAATAACAAGAGCAAATTTTTTCCAAATTTACTTTCTTTGGACAGTCCCATTTGTCTACGGTCTATCCCAATTTAAAATGAGATAGTCAAATGGGCTATTTCATTCTCCAGATTAGTTTCACACACTGTATGTATGAACCCAGAGGATTATAAGTTAATTCTGCTCTGATTATATGTGTAATGTATAAGAACAAACTTATAAAACATAATAAATGTGATGCAAAATGCATGAAATTCATTTTATATTGAAAATGATACTAAACTACTAAAGGTCAATCAAATTGATTCAGTGTTAAATCAAAGATATATATGGCATGCAAAATGAAAGTAACGGTTTTTCAGTAAATTGCTACGCTGAAAAATTGAAAGGCTGTATGTATGCACATAAATTTGCAATGAAGGGAAGGTGTGTAATGCACCATGTTTGCTCATCACAGCCAAAAAAAAAAAAAAACAAAAAAAAAAAACACATTTGTTATTTTAAGGATAACATCAACCCTAAACACTAAAAACGGATGAAATTTAATTAAATGCATTTTCCTCTTTTTTAAAAAAATATTTTGTATTTGAATCTAATAAAGTTGTTCTCTATTTATAAGCAGGCTAGCAAGGAATTGATTTATCAGTGAAATGCATTAAGGTATTCAATGTATAACGAGCAAAATTTGGTACAGAATTTTACTTTCCATTTTTATAATTAGCATATAACAGGTCCCTATTTATGAAAAATTCATGAACATTTACCACATAGTTTACTAAATATCTGAAAAAGTGTACAGGTACCATTTTCTGTGTTTCAGCACTAACGGCTTTATTAAAACCTTGAGTAATAAAATATTTCAGATTAATGATAAATGTGTGTTAACAGAATATTCTTAAGACAAATATAGTAGAAAGAAAATAATATAAAAAACAAATCAAATTATAAAGGTCTTTTGACTTTTTTAATCACTCAAACCTTATACACTGCTTCCGAGAATGTCTTGTCAAAATGCAGACCAATACACAAAAATTTAAAAAAAACTATTGAGGTGCATCCATATTCAGAATGATATAAATTTAAAGACATATACAGGCAACATATAAACCTAAGAAAATTTTTTTTTCACCATCTCATATTTTTTCTGTATGACTTATAACAACCTCTACCCCCAAAATGTAAAATCTGTGAAGTGTTCCTCTGATGTACAAAGATATGCATAATCAACACAAAAGTTCAATATTTACATTAAAAATGATACAAGCTGGTATATAATGTATGAATACTTCAGGATAATGAAAAAACTTTCAATATATACAATTTTTTTAAAAACTTTTGTCTGTCTGTCTGTCCGTAACAAATTTTCGGTGCACTTTCCTCTGCAACTTCTCATAGCAAATGCATGAAATTTTAGCACATTCTTTGTTTTTGCATGCC